TCCCTGGGCTGACGCAGGGCTGGTTAAACACCTTAACCAGGGGGTTATTAGCTGCTCGGGGGCCAGTCTCTCTGCATCCTCTTCCCAGTGGAAGTTTCCACAAAACCAGCGTGTCTTTGCAAAGAATTTCAGCTCCCGTGACGTGATGTTTCCCAGCAGGAAAGATGTAGCCAGCAAATTCCCAGCGAGCCCAAGGCCCGCTGCAGCCTCGCGCTTCCATAGTCAGAGGTTAGCCTGCCTCTCCCCGAAGGCCCCGCCGAGGAAAGCAAGGCCCTGCCTATCACTGCTCGCTTACCCTCCTGACCCTGTCCCTCGGCGCTCCGGGGCGGATGCTCCGGCCGTTAATAACACTCCTGGGGCACACGCAGGGCGCAAGGAAAGCTCGTGGTGCCCGCGAGGAGCCCTGGGGTTTCAGAGGCCGCTGCCCCCGCGTCGCTGTGTGCGGCCGCCGCGCAAGCGGCTGCGCGGCGGCAAGAGGCCCCTGCTCATTGCAGGGCCTGCGAGTCAGGGTGTAAAACTCAAGGGCTAAACTCAACGTGGCATTTCTAGGCCTCTCGCTGGTGGCAGCTGCCTTGGTTCACAGTGTTCAGCACCAGGAGAGCACCGCTCTGGAGCCTGTAAAGGGGTTTGCAACGAGCTGCAGCATGGGATGGATGGCAGGAAAGGAACACAAGTGTTTAAAGAAAAAACGCTTTGCGGAGCTGTCTTTAACACTCTCCTGCAGGATCTTGCATCCTGAAATGCCAGAAAGAACAGGAACAGAAGTTGCTTCACCGCAGGCGCTAATGCTGGCAGCCACTGTGACCAGCGAGGATTGGCTAAGCCCTCTCCACACATGAGAGAGGCCTGGCATAAGGTAATGCTGGCCATTCCTTGGAGAAAAAGCCCCCTGGAACATGTATGACGTGATTTTGTTTGTGCCCAAGAGTCAAGCATCTCTTCCTGCTCATGATAGAGAAGAAATGTATCATCTAGACTGAAATTCTTTGCTACAGAATAAACTTGAGTAGCTCCACAGAAGGCACCTGGGGAGGGGCAAAGCTACTCTCTTTGCTTTGGGACTTGTCTTTAATCTGAAAACCTCTTCCAGAGATAAATTGGAAGTTGTCATTGGCATCTCTGCTGAGAATCCTGTCAACAGGAATCCGTCAGTGCCGGCCATGATGATATAAACACAATTTCTCTGTTCAAAGCGTCACACCAACTGTACCTAATTAACCTTCACCACAGCACAGCAATACAAGGAAATAGGGATCATTAACTTCAGCATCACTTTGCAGAAGAGGAAGAGAGGCAGCAGTGCCAGCCCCATGCATTTGAAATTGCGGCAGGCTCAAAGGATCACGAGGTTAGAAATAACAGTAATCTGTTTGGGGATCTCAGGGCTTTAAGCGTGCACTTGAATAAGACTTTCAAGTTGTTTTCCACAAAACATCAGGACTGGAGTTTTCTCTCCCATACGGTCTCTTTTACTCAGTGACCAAGACTTTAAGAAGATCACATGTTTGTAATCCCAGTGGTGCAGAGGCATCAAAAGAGAGCATGACTTGCTCAGTTGTTTAAAGTCAGCACAAAAGCTGAGACTAGAGTGTGTAAGCAGCTGACCCTCCACCCCCTGCTTTTCCCTGCAGATCATGCTGTCCTATAGGTAAAGGAGCCCACCTAAATCCATTAACTAACACCACAGTGGTCACTTAATAGCTCTCAAGGGCAGGTTTAGATTTAAACTAGCAATCTCAGCCCTTCCTCTCATTTCTGCTGCAGGACAAAGTGATGATACCGCTGCTTTACGTTTTGGTGTCGGGGTCGGCCCAGCTCCGTCTCCTGAGGCTGGATTGTGACAGGATGTCCCGAAGAGGCCAGGCCGTGCATGCCACACGCTGACACTGCTCTCCTCACCTCAGACTGCTCCTATAAGTTAATAGGAAAGAGCAACTCGTACAGTTCCTTCCTAAAGCAAAGGAGACGCTTTGCCTGTTGGATCACCTGCCAGCAGGTGCTGAGGGGGAGCATAGTGCCTGTTGCATTTACAGGGGCATTGGCACTGGGTACAGTTTTGTCTCACCAAATAAATAAAGTGCAAAGGCCTGAGTAGTAGCCACGGCAGCTATAAAAACGTTACCTGCTATTTCTGACAAACAGATCTCACTGCTGCCCCAGGTAATAGATAGTATCAGAGGAGAAAAGGTGGCTTTGTCTGGAGCCCCAGCAGGTAGGATCCCAGTTTTTCCCGGCACAGAAATCAATTGTGGAAGGCTTCGGCTAAGGAGGAGAGTCTATTGTGTGCGGGTGCTGACCTCGGCGCAGACAATCAGCATATAAACCGAAGCGTGCTCTATTCATCTCCTTTTCTTCCTCCTCTGTTCTAAGTTGACATGGGGTGAAGTGAAGCTGAAGGGACCCTTGAAAAGGCCGGGTCACTGATGGGCAGGAGGAATGGCTTGACAGATGGTGAAGAGCTTTCACGAGCAGCACGGGCCGCAGCGGGCTCTGGGGAGCAGAATGGTCCCCGTGCGCCGGCGGTGTGTCTGTCTCTCTGATTATTTGCTGTATTTCATCTCTGCTGCCTGTCTCGCCCTTAATCTGGGCTCCCGTGTGCCAGCAAAATGCTTAGCTCACTCCATTGTCTGCGAGACTAATTTGCTCTGCAAATCCGATGCTTATCTTACATGACAGCTTACCACGGGGTTTATTGCAGTCCTGAAGACAAACTAACCAGGGATGGTTAGAGAGCCTTAGACACATTGTCTGGGGTAAGAACAAATGTGACATTTCGGCTTGCTGCCAGGAAAGGGCCTGGCCCCTTGCGCTTGGGGTTACCAGGGCTTTCTCTTTTCCTTACAAATTTCATCAAATCCGAGGCCTTTCTTTGTTCCCGTGGCACAAGTTCTGTTCTGCGTTGGAGCCTGGGGGTGCTCCTGGGACAGCCTCCCTCTTTCCCAGAGCCAGGTTGCCCGTCCCTCCTCCTGGCTACTAGAAATGTGGGCGGCAGAGCCCTAAAGCCTCCTGCAAGGAGAGGGGTCCATGTAAACGGAGGCACAGGTCTACCTGGGGAGAGCCAGGAAGGTTATTGCAGCACAGATACAGCGCTTGGTTCTGCAGCTGAGCACACAGGAATTTAGTGTCCAGATTTCTGCATTGCAGTCCTCTGATGGGACATTAAGGATCCTGCTTTTCCATACAGGAAAGGGGCAACATGAGACCCATGCAATTCCATCCCACTCATTTGGAGAACCGATCTGATTTTCTAGGGCTTCACTGACTAAAATCCTGCTTTATATTCTGGTGGGGATCTGGAATCTATTCTTCTTGCTCTTGATCTGAGGACAAAACTGCTGGAGCAGATAAGCGGTTTGCATCAAGTTGGGGGCTGGCAACTGAACTGGATGTTCAAGATCTGGAAAGCCTCGGTAGCCACTAGGAAGAGTAAAAAATACTAAGAGAAATCCCCGAGAGAAATAGCCCAACAGTATGTCATAGATGGGATTGTAGCTACTCAGAGTATATTAGAAACCCTGTGCAGGCCCCTGTCAAACACCATTTTGCAGCTCAGATTAATTGGGAAAATGTGTGAGTTTTTAATCTGAGGCTTATTCCAATTCTTCGGAGCTGGTCAACACCAGGCAGTAACTCCTCACAGCGCCATCCAACCCAAGCCCACCTTGCCCTACCCAAGCAAGAGCTGCTGTCCAGCCTGGTCAAAGATCAGGAGAGAACCTGTGACTCTAAGAAAATTCAAAAATCTGCAGCATTTCAGAAGAATCAGAATTGATATGAGAGGCCAGTCTTCCAATGTAAACCCCTGTATCTAAAGGTGGTGATCTGGAACATTGTGTGGAATTCTGAAGACATCTTGTATTGCTTCTGGAAGGTCTGGATCGTTGCCCTTTCCCGGAGAGGACGCAGCCTGAGTTCCCCTTCTCATCAGTCTGCCTGAGCACTTGTGATCCAGGCAGCAACTCCGGTCTGGTTGGCAAGGTCATGTTCTCCCCTCAGCCGTGTGCATCCGGAGCCCTGGGGCACCCAGCGCGTCCAAGGATAAAATCTGTGCCCTGCTGCTGCTGAGTGCTTTGTGTCACATTTCTGGTTGGCTTGTTTGGAAAAAAAAAAGGGGGAGGGATGGAGGGAGGCTTGTTTTTCAGCTTCTCTCAGAGACCCTGTTACGTGTCATGTGGACAACAGGAAGGCCGTGTCTGCTTGAAAGAATTCACAGGATAGCTTGGCAAACGTTTGGTGACTAGAGGCTGTGATGAAGACACCGTGTGAGACGTGTCGGTAGCAGCAAAAGGAGCCCATTGGTGCAGGCTGGGTAGGTCTGAGGTTTCCATCGGCCAGGGTGTGTGGCTGCCTAAGGCCCTGCTGCTCGCTTAGCTGTTCAGTCTGCTTTCCAGCACTGCCCAGCCCTTTGCTTGCCAGCAAAGCAAGTCCACTGCCTAAATCACTATAGGCTGTAGTGTGCGTGGGAATGGAGGTGGGGGAGCCATCAAAGCGGGGTTTCCAGGTAGGATTCTCTGTTGCTTGGGATATCAGTAGCAATGAGAGGAAGAGGCTGCTGCTGCTGTGGCAGGGAGCAGGTAAATGAGACGGCTTTCTTTAAAGAAGCAGGGAGCCTTAGAGAAAGGAGGAGATGCTGAACCTGAGAAGGTCCAGGGCGGCCTGTAGAGACTGGGAAGAGAGGGTGGGTCCAGCGAGCAGCTCCAGCCTGTGCTGCCGGGCGTGGCGCCCCTGCTGCCTGCCCGGAGCAGCCCGCGGGGAAGCGGGAGCTGGGAGAGCCCAGCGCGGAGCAGCCCCTGGAGCCTCCGCGGAGCTTCGCTCTCGTGCTCTCGGGCCCCGGCTCCCTGCAGAGGCACCGGCACGGTCACGCCATGGGGCTGTGCAGGCTCTCAGAAGGCCGCTTGGTTTTGTGCCCTTTCCCTGCTTTTCACACGCATCCCCACAAAAGTTCCCCTGCTGCCTGAGCACTAAGCAGGCCCTTCTGAGCGGGGAACGGGCTGGGAGGGATGTGGCTGCTCCGGGGCTTCCGTAAGCCCAGCTGGTGCTTGTGTTTCTTCCTGCCAGGATTGCTTGGTCATATTTTTGCAATTATTAGTAGCTCTTCTTGTGTATGGAGCTGGCAGTGAATCAGAAGTCGGAGCATCCAAAATACCTCACCCCGCTAAAAGAACAGCTCCTCCCTTGGTGCCTGTCTGCAGCGCTGGTCGCTGGTTCGAGGTGGGAGCGCCGTGTGGAAGCGGCCATCAGGGCTGCCAGGTTGGAGTCTTCTCCCTTCTCCCAGGGCTGGCGGGTTGTGAACATCAGGGCTGCTCTGTGGTGGGCAGGTGCTCTGGCACTTCGGGTGGGTTTGTTACGCTGGCTCTGATCCAGCTGGCACAGGTAGATTAACAGGGACATAATGCACAGACTTAAGCAAGCCTAGCACTATTAAGTATGTAGCAGAGGTCTCCAGAGGGCTTGTACAACCCAAAGTGAAGTCCGTGTCCCCGTCTTTACTGTAGTTCACTATCTATCCTAGTTAAGTTGCAGTTTCTGCGGAGAGATCTGTCTTGTGTTGTACCCCAGTCCCTCATTTGACATTAGCACAGACCTGCCTCGAAAGACATGCTTTCCTGAGAACTTGCAGGCCAGGCAAGCGACTGCAGTTGCTGCTTTCAGTTCATGCCTCCTGTGCTGGCACTAGTCTTCGTGATTTACTGGCATTAGTCAACAGATATGAGGGGGAATTACATCTCTTGTTAGTGGGATTTGCTTCAAATTGCAGCACTGAGACTTGCGAGTTTGGGGATTTAATTGAGCTGCCTCCTCCTCTGCTCTGTTATGTGGGCAGTTCTCTTCCCACTCTGTCCTCCCAAGTCCTCTCCTAGTGCTCCGTGTGCCTGGCATTGCCACAGTTCCTCCTGGAGGCACTAAAAGGTGTTGGGGCTGAAAGATGCTGCGTGTGCTGGAGCTCATGCTGCGGTGGTGGGGAGCCCCCTGGGCCGGTGCAGCTGCTGGCGTGAACACTCTGACTCTGTCTCCTCTCTCTCTTTCTTTCTTTCCCTGCAGATGCCAGCAAGGACCATCCACAGCAGCAGGCAGGGGTGATCTGGCGGGTGACGGGCGGCTTGTTCAGCATCACCCGGGGAGCTGTTGGCGCCACCCTGGGAGGAGTTGCCTGGGTGGGCAGCAAGAGCCTGGAGCTCACCAAGACAGCGGTGACCAGCGTCCCCGCCGCTGGCGTTGGACTCGTCAAGGGCAGCGTCTCGGCGGTGACCGGCGGCGTGGGCGCCGTGGGCAGTGCCGTGGCCAGCAAAGTCCCGTTCACCGCAAAGAAGAAGGACAAAGCTGACTAATCCCCATCGCAGCTCCCTTCCAGAAGATCAACCTGCCCATGCTCTCCCCCTACACAGCACCTCTTTGAATTGGAAACAGCCGCTTTGGGGAGGGTAAAGCACCCAAGCAGACTCCTGCTCTACACCGCCTGCCTGGCTCAGGGCTCGCAGAGCCGCTGTCAATGCCTTTCACTCCCATCACCTACTGGGAACCGTCTCTACTCTGAGGACTCTGAAGCCACACTGGTCTCTGTCTTGCAGTTTGCTTCCTCCCTTTTTGCTCCTCAGAGCATAGAGGGGTGGGAGATGGTGTAAGGCTCCATCTGCCTGGAGGTGGTGAGGGATAAGGGAGGAGGAGGAAGAATTAAGCCTGGCTCAAAGTGTGGTTTATGTACTTGAATTCAGCTTCAGCTGGGGAGACAGCTCCTGAAACGCCTACCTTTGGCTCTGGGTGGTGTGTACGGGGGTTTGCGTGGGGGAGACCTGTAGAAGAAAGTCCCATTGACATTAAAGAGAGATACTGTGAAGAGGGGGAAGCCTCCGTCCTGCCCCACACCTCTTACCGTTTCTTTGCTGCATCCCACAAGCTGCTCCCAGTCATTTATGCCGTGGCTGAACTCCATCCCCCACAGAAGGAGCACTCAAGCTCAACAGAGCACCCCTGGGATGAGGCCACACAAGTGTATTACATGTCCCAAGCCATCCATCCCTCAGGCAGGTTTCCTCGGTGAGGGGCAGGGGGGTGCAATCTGCTCTGTGTCCCCATTTGGGGGAATTGCTGACCGTGGCATCCAGCAGATCACTCATACTACAGCAGGAGGTGGTGGTGCTCCACCAGTGAGAGGGGAGAGGTGCCCTCGCCATGCTGAGGCTCACTGGGGCTTGACCCCTTGAAGTCTTTGCAGTGTCCCCATCTGCAACAGGGGCGACGGCTCCCAGTCGCGCTCTTACCCCGCAGACGTCACTGGTAACTGGCTCGAGCCCCGCTCCTCTGAATGACCCTCTTGCACCAACCGCCCGCCGAGCTCTTGGTGCCGCAGAAACCCCAACACCGGCGCTCATCCGGAGTCGTGTGCAGCCACAGCCTGTCCCGTGGTGCTCACCGAGACACCACACACACGTACACACACACACACACACACACACACGCTCCGTCTCTCCAAGGTCCCCTGAAATCCTCGGAAGGAGGAAAGCCGCAGGTTCCAACATTAGCTCTGCCTTTCCTGGTTTCAGCAGGATATTAGCCTAGGTTGTTAGGTGTGGGGTGCATAGGCAAGTGAAGCAGTGTTCGTGCTGTGTTTTATAAATCTGCGTATGTGTTAGCGTGTGTATCAGTCCACAGGCATGTGTTCAGCCAGGTAAGCAAAGCTGTGCGCTGCTGCAGAGGAGTCCATGTAATCATCTTTGGCACTTCCAGCATATAGGTTTTATAGAGGGACCTGGTTGAAATAACAATCATGTTTTAGAGGGCCTTTTTCCCCTGTGTTGCCCAGCAGTGTAGTTTATTAAAACCAAAGGAATGTGAAAAATGTCCTTTCTCCCATCCTTGCTCTTAGTTTATTTTCTGCCCTGTGCTTTGGCCACTACAGCCAACTTCCTTGGTTTTCATTTCCTTTTTGAGGTCATTTTGCTTCCTGGCTGTTCTGTTATGCTCAGGACTTAAACATCATGGAATATTTAAGTACCAAAAAAACAGCCATTGTATTTTCTTGGACTTATGAAGCAGTTTTGATTCTGACCTTTATTAAATCCACATTTTGGACCTGACTTAATTTGCCTGTGCCCCTTTGCTAGGCACACAGGTGTTGGTTTCTCTCCATGCCCCTTACTGGGCAGCGGTCCTGCCATTTGCAGTGGCAAAAAGCTTCTGATCTCCACATTGTGTTTCTCTTAATAGCATGGCAGTGGCTTACCCTGCATCTCCGTTTCTGAAGGGGAAACAGCATTTGGTATGTGTGTGCGTTTCCTCCTCGTCTCTTTTGTTCTCCTGAAGGCCAAGTTGACCCAGATGCGTTGGATTTTTCTCTGAAGGCAGCAGCTTCGCATACAGATCAGGCCTTGGTGTGTGTCCGCGCCTCGCTGGGGTGCTCGTGGCAGCTAGCAAGGGCTGCAGAAATCTCGTGTGCTCTTCCTTTATCCCTACCCTGCTGCGAAGCAGGAGGGCAGTTTGCGCTGCATGGGTCTCTGCTCACTGCTTTCCCTGAGCACATCTCATTTCTTATACCAGATCACAGCCTGCCTCTCCATCCAGCTCTAGCCCCAAAGCTAAAAGCTGCCTGTGCATAACTAAGCCATCAGCAAGCCCCGAAAGGAAGATGCAGCTTCCTTCCAATGCAGACAGAAGACAGTCGTCTTCTCAACAGCCTCCCTGACTGTGAACAGAAGGAGATAGTGTTTAAGGGGCTTTCCTTCTCCCGCCACCCCTAGGCAGGCAATGAGAAGGTCATCATGCTTTGGCTGACCAGTATTGTACACAGGTCATCAGGTGGAAGAGAAGCTCTGGGCAATAAATCCTTCCCAAGCTGCTGTTTGCAGGTACTGTGTGTGCAGAGCAGGCATGGCACATTGGTAAAGGCACATTGTGGAACGCCAGGTGGATTCTAGGGTTTTCCCATGTTTTTTATGTCTAGTTTTCCCTCTCTCACTGTGTGTCCTTGTAATAAATGGACTAAAGCTCTCCGTTTGTTCTGGAACTGCCATGGCCTTCAGGGATGGCCCTGAGAAGGGGAAGGGTGAGGGGAGCTCTCAGCCCAGATCACTGTTCTTAGGCCCAGCCTATGGAGAGGTCATGGACCATAAATTTACAAAGAGGGCAAGCTAGCAGGTAGGAATATAGGATTAATCTACTTGAAAACCGTGGCCTCAGACTTCTTATCAGATATTTGGGGATATATAAACATGCAGGACTTGGACATCTCTGGGAAGTATGTCTGTGTAAGAGTACTGGGCCTCTTTGGTTGGTTCAGGTGACTCGGACCCAGGCTGCCCTTCTGTGCACTCCCCACGCCAGAGGAGAAGATTCCCCCGTAAGAACCAAGCTGCTTTCTCACAGCTCCAGTTGCAGGTTGGTAGCATCTAGATCAGGCAGGGAAGCTGTCGGTACCTGACAGATAACCCCATCTTTCTGCCTCCCCCAGGACAGATACTTCAGCCAGGTTGAGATCCAGCCCAGTCACTGGTGCAGCCCTTCTCCCACAGCCCTTTCACGGCGAGAGCACCAAACCCAACATTTGGCAGAAATCCTACTAGGTAGGAGGGGGCAGGAGAGGGGTGGAAGGTGGGGGGCCTTAGGTGGTATGGAGGAAGGAAGGAGGGCAGTGCAAAGAGGAGCAGTCTCCTGGGGATAGGGAGTAGGTGAGGTGAGACTGGTTACAGGAGGAGAGGAAGGGCCTGCAGAAGGAAGGGGAAAGTGGGAAGAATGTAGGAGAAAGAAAAGAAAAAAAGTAGAAGAATGAATGTAGGTTTTGGTATACATTGTTCCACTCCTGGCTGATACTCTGCTTCCATAGTAATGACAGATAGGAGGTGTTTCGGGTAGCTAGGTCAGGATGGGCAGAGGATGGTGCCTGGGCTGGTTGAGCTTCGTGCTTAGGCCTCAGCCGGGCTCCCGGGGGTGATCCCTGCGTGCCGGAGGCCGGGAGGCGGCCTCCAGGCAGCCCTGGGCCTTGTCCCGCCTGGGGAGCCCACGCCCAAGGCACCTGACGGGACAACTGCCTTTTCTCCCTTTTCCCTTTCCTCTTTTCCATTTACTTTTCGTAGATTTTGGTCTTGCCCCCACCCCTCTCTCCAAAGCCCTTGCTGAGATCTTCATTAGAGCTGGGAGGGCAGAGAGGGTGACTCCGCGCCCGCAGCTCGGCTGGCTGAGAGAAGTGCACGTCTTCCACCCCTTCCTCCCCTTGTGTTTTGTGTGTGGAAAAACTGAACCCACCTCTTTTCCTCTGGATTCCCTCGTTCCCTGGCTCTTGTTCCTGCGAGTGGGTTCTTTCTATGTCTCCATTGCAAAGTCAGCCTTGTTGAAACACCAGGTCGTGGGTAAACATGGAGATGGACGGAGAGAGCCACAGAGCTGCTGGGACCCGTCTCTGCTTCTGTGTGAGCCTGGGAGCCTTTTGGAAACCCTGAGCTGTCACTGTGGCCACATTGTCCCGTGCACGGGGCTGGGCTCCAGAGAACACTTTTGTTCTTCATCATTTCATTGTCTGTAATTGGTTTCTTACTGAATTTGTTTGCTTGGTTTGTTTTGCAGTGTGTTTCTGGGAATATTCTGCATCTCTGTATTTTAATTACAGTAAAATTTGAGGATAAAAACCTTTGTTACGCTCGTTCTTGTTTCCAGTGGGGGAAAATGAGCAGAGGAACTGCAACTCAACAAAGATATTAGAGATTCCTTGAGAAATCAGATCTCTCCCCTAAGGGCTCTAAGCGAGGCACTGAGCAGGGCTGAATCTCAGTCCTTGCTTAAACTAGGACATGGCTTTCCACCATGATTCGCAAGCCGTTTTGTTGCTAGCGCATTTACTGATTGAAGTGGTGAGAACAGCCTGGGTAAGACTTTTAAGCTCAGTCCCTAGCTTTGTCTTGAAGACCTTTGTGTGTGAGGTCTTTTGCGTCGGAGGAAGGCTGGCGTAGGCTCCCGAAGTGGGATGCTGGCACGTGAGGATGGGAAATTCTGCCTTTGCAGCTGCTGTCTCTGCAGGTGCTGGGATGAGGGCTGCTTGTCGCAGCCGAGGAGGTGCAGGGGAGCCCGCAGCAGCCCTTGGCGGGCGATGCCGCGCTGGTGGTGACCGTGAGGCACCCGCTGCGCCCGGCTGAGTGCTGCAGCCTTGGGGACGCAGGGCCGGGGTGAGGCAGGGCGCCAGCAGCCGGGCATTTGGGAAGCGCTGACAAAGGGATTAATTTAGTAACTAATAACAGGGCAATCAAGCCATTTATGGGGCTGGTGTTTTCCTGCCAGCAGTTTCGTAATGCGCACCAGCACTGCTGAAGCTGGTGGCTCTGAAGCCCTGTTGCTCGGCCCGTGGCGCCCTTGCTGGCCGCCTTGTGCCCGCAGCAGGGGTACCCAGGAGCCACGGGGCCCCACGCATCCCCCTTCCCTCCAGGAGAGGCAGCCTGAGCACCACAGGGCCAGGCAACGACCTCTTAGGCGCCGCATTAGCAGGTTTGGCAGCAGAAGAGGTGGTGGGGAAGGCACTTTCTGCAGTGACTGTGGGTAGCAGGAGCAAAAGCAACTGCTGTTGCTGCCGCTGCTGCTGCTGTTGCACGTGTGGCCCCAAGGAAGGCGAGTGCAGCAGGCAGGTGCTCCCAGAGCTGCATGGCAGCACCAGACAGCACAGCCAGTTTGGCACATGCACCCCCACACCACAGAGGGGACCATCAAATGTGCCACCTTGGCTGAGCTTTTCCCCTCACCCTGCCCAGCTGGAGCAGGTTTTCACTGTTAAGCTGGTTTGCAAAATGCTGCTAATGAGCTGATGTGCAGCAGCAACAGCAGTACCTGTCCTTGTTAGGGTTAGGGAGGGGAAAAGGGCTCCTGGGGAGCTGCCTGGGGCTGCTGCTTTCCCTGCTCTGTGCCAGGCTGTGTGTGGCAGTGGCTGGCACCAGCTTCCCCCCTGCTGCTTCAGGGTCCAGGCTCAGCCCCTTTCCCAAACAGGGCCTTGGGCTGGGAGTCAATGGGCAGCAGCTCTTGGGAGAAGCCTTTGGTGAGGAAAGCTGCTCTAGGCAGGTGGCCCAGGCTCTCTGGTGATGAGAGAGGGCCCTGCTGCCGCTCAAGTCTGGGAGCACCGAGCTGGGTGAGCCCACTGCATCCAGGGCTCCTCAGGATGTGCTCTAGGCCCCCAGCCTAATCACTGGCACTTGCTTCTGTGGGACGCGTCCTAGGGACTGAGCTGTTTGGAGGGCTTTGCATGTGTCCTGTAGAGCTGGAGAGGCTGTCCAGCTGCTTCCTCAGGTAAGGTGCAAACAGAGATTGATGAAACGTGTGCTTGGCCCCCACTCCTCTGCTGACACCGACCCTGTGTGTGCTCCCATTCCTGCTGCTCCTGGCCTTGCTCAGCCCACAGCCCCTGCGAGGCAGGAGCCGGGTCCCGCTCCTCAAGCCCACAAGGTGCCTGGCACGCGGGGCCCTGTCTCGGCTGCCAGCAGGAGCCTCGCAAAGGCAACAAGTGCATTTGCTCTGTTACCTTTCTCATAGTTTTCATGCTGGCAGTTTAATGACGTGAACTTTCACGCTGTTTTCCGGGGGCAGAGCCCTGCTATGCTCTGTGCCCGGTGTCAGGCTCGAGGCTCGCGGAGGCTGGCGGTGGGGCGCTCCGTGGGCGAGCCTTGCAGCGAGCCCCCCGCCACCACGCGGGCCGGCACCTTCTCGGCTCTGTAAATAACCACAGGGGCTCACTTTTGGCTTAACTAGTTGCATTTTTACACACTTCAGGTTCAAACATGCACATGCCGAAGGGGTTGTGTTCGCTCCCCCCACAGTCCTGCCCTGTCCCCCTCCTGCACGTTGTAGGAGACGGGTATGTCTGGAAAGACTGACGTCTGCCTATTGGTGCATCCACCCCGGCTGTGATTACTGAGGTGGTTCAGTTGAATTTCACCCCCCACCCAGGTCAGTTTTATTGCACTCTTTTATTTACAGAAAACACAGAAATAAAGCATTAAATGTGTTGGGGTTTTTACCAAACTGCCCAATCATTTTTTTTCTTCCTTTTGTGTTTTTTTCTTTTTTTTTTTTTTTTCTTTTTGGCACAAAGAAATATCACAGGTGTTACCAAACAACCAGCTATCAGCAACTGACCAACTGCCCAGCCCAATAACATGACTTAAACAGACAGATATATCGAACTGAGACTGAAAGCAAGGAGGTTGTTCCACATTCAGTGACCAGTTTAACTTGCTCACCGGAGGACAAGGGGAGTTATTCTGGAGGGGACAACATCATTCATAAATTATATTTATATTTACCTCTTACATTGTAAAAGTAAACAGTGCAAAAGTACAGTACCCCAGGTACCCTTTCGGTTTGGAAAGCTTGACGGTTGTCTTTTACATTTTGTGTGTGTTTTGTAAACATTGTTACCCATCCACAGTTCTAGCTCTTGCTCGGAGAGACCCGGTTCCTCTTGCATCCGAAGCGTGTCGTGAGAGGTGGCACCCGCTTCCCCCGGCCTCTGCTCAGAGAGCCCCGCTCGCGATTTAGTGCAAATTTTGGAGAGAGAAAAAGACAAAAGAGAGAAGGGAAGGGAACGAATCAAAAGAAAACAAAATAAGGCAACAGTTAGAAACAGTCCGTATCAAAAATAGGGCCTGCCGTGCCGGGGCTGCCTTAGGAGAAGGGCAGGAAGTCTCTGTCTTCCACGAGGCTGACGGAGAGGTTTTTGAGCTCCTCCTCGGAGGCGGCCGCTCGGTAGCCGAGCTGCGCCAGCACCGGCTGGCAGGCGCGCTGGGTGAATGCCACGATCTCGTAGGACAGCCGGAACCGCCACTTCTCGGCCGTCGCCGCCGAGTTTCGCACCGTCCCGTACTTGTGTTTGGACGAGGACCGGTCTCCTCGCGTGTTGTTCTGGATCCAGCGCTCCACGTTGCTGTCCATGGGGATGCCCAGGAAATCGTAGATCTCCTCGGTCTTTTTCATGGGGTTCCTGGCCAGGTCTTCGTACCTCACCAGCATGTATTTGCCTTTGAGCCACGGCGGCCGGGTGAGGCCGGTGGAAACGGAGTTCCAGAAGTCCTCGCACACTGTGGTGAGCTGCGTCACGTCCAGGTTGTACGGCTTCCTGCCGGTGCCGTCCCAGATCCTCCAGAGCCGGTAGGTGTCCCGGAAAGTCTCACTCCGGGATGCCAGGATCCCCCGGGGATCCCTCACCAGCTGGATGACCTTCAAGTTCAGCCGCGGGTCCTCCACCAGGGCCCGGAGGTCGCTGACCTCGGGCACCCGCACCGTTTTGATGGCAACGTGCCCATGCTCTCTGCAGGACTCGGTGGCCAGCGTCA